AGTAAAGAGGATATCTCAATATTTAAACTTGATTTCCTTCACTCCATTCTTTAAGGTAGGATAAATAACCTTATATTTCTCTTTCTACAAATAAGATAACACACAATATCCAAGTACCTAGTATTCCATACTATATTACAAGAACTATATCACTTAGAAATAACACTAAGTATCTCCACTACAAAAGACAACATTTTCCTCCACTATTTTCAAATAATATGAAAAAAATTAGGCAGTATATGTCATTCGCATACCAGGTATCATTTGATTTGAACCTTTACTTTGTATATGCACTACAAAGTACATTAAGTTCTATGGTAGCATATAGCTTTGAATCAAGAATCTTATCCAACATATTGACAACACAACATACAAATGACATACAAACTCTAGTGTCTTTATACTGCCAGCTCTTTTTGGGTCTTGAAATTTTCATGAGTGCTTTAGAAACGAGTCTAATATCATATGAAGCGGCCTCACTTTCACACTCATATATGTGAGTTTATCAAGGGTGTTCCTGTATATAAAACACCCAAACGAATAATAATTCTAGACATCATGAAGAGCATAGTGTAACCCCCTCTCATACAAATCATTGCTAGAGGTATACACCACATGGATCTTTCAAGAATGGGTGTTTGCAAATTATTTTATCATATATAATGATCCACTAACTACATGAATAACTTGTTTTACCACATTGAATCTAGGCATCTTAAGGCAAGAAAAGGCTAGATTGAGTTCCCAATATTGATGGTTACTCTATGGACTCTAGCTCCATTTTAATTGACTCCCTCTAATATATTCCCTGGTAAGGCTTTTTGTCAAAGGATTGGCCAAATTTTCATTTAAAATTTCACAAATCCTAGACTTTTCAAATAAGTATGACTCACAAAAATCTAAATTAAAAGATTTTAAACCAGGGAGAAAGTTTTTATTGAGAAGTACCTTGAGTCTATGCTTGCTCAGATGACGAACGTGCATGCCATGTCATGATGGAGTCCACCTCTGTAATATCGGCCTATCCCAAAACTGTTTTTCTAACAAGTCTTACAAATTGCTTACTAACTTTCCTTTTGCAACCACTAGTGTTCCTTTTGAATTTTTCAAACATTTATTTTTACATGTAAATTTGACAAGAGACTCTTTATGAGACCTGAAACATGTCTGACACTCGGGATTATGCATATGATTCAATTCAACTTCTTCATTCTTACATTTCCAACTCCACTATTTTATATTAGTCATTATTTCCCATATAAACAATACCTCTATTACATGGTTGGTACCTATAGAACCAATCCATATATGGAATCATGTGAAAGGATATACCTAAATCAAGTTGTCAATATTACAAAACTTCCTCCCTATCCACAGATAAAACTTCTCCATCTTCAGAAAGCTCAATTCTTTCTACTAGATTTTCTTGATAGCCACTTGAACTAGGCTTTTTATTGGAACCAGATTTAAGAGCTTCCTATTTCGCTTTTTGTAGTTTATAGTCTTTCGTCACCTTGCCAAAATTTTCATAGCTCAAACCAGTGTTTAAAAAAACGCCGAGTCGAACCGGACTCGCCCGGTTCAACTCGGGAATCGCCATGGACGGATCGAATCGGAGAAAAAACGGGAATCGTCAGGTTCTAGAGAGAACCGGACGATTCTGTACAGTGACTCTCCGATTCACTGTACGTAATCGGCGAGT